TATACCGTCGCCAAAAAAATTGACTCTCATGTATTAGAACTACCACATTTTGATCACAATGAACTTTGGTAGAAATGATAAATTAGTATCACATTGCTATCAAAAACATTGCCTTTATATGTACTAGGCTACTGTACTGTAATATATTATAGTTTTTGTAGAATTAGATGTATAGGTCACATTACAGCCATAATCGTATCTTCAACCATTTCGTAATCGCTTTTGCAGAAAAAAACTTGTCAACGCGTTTTGCCTGAATGCCTTGAATCTCAAATTTATGACTGTTTACCAAAACAGTTTGCCTTTGTCACATTTTCAAGGCGATTAAGGGGGCTGCGGCCGTAGAAGAGGAGATGAGTGTTTGCGACAATTCTATACATTCCTATTGGCCCCGATTTGCTCCCCCCTCCCCCCCCCCCATTCTGCTCCACTTTGAGTACAGGAAGTAAATCGGTTGTTTGGGTGTGTAAGACAGTATGACCAAACAACAGGTTACTGCCGGTTGTTGAGAGCTAATAGACTACAATTTGACTTTGTTTTGACTTTTTACACTCTACTAACACATATGGTAAGAAAGGCTGTAATTTGCAACTATGGACAGCGAAAACTGTTACGGGCTAATCAGATTCGCTTTTCAGTTCGATTTATGCCTTGTCTAGTTTTATAAGCAGAAAGGAATGACGGGGGGAGGGGGGTGGACATAGGAAAGAGTGGTTTTAGAAAAGTTATAGGAAAAAGGAGAAATGGATTCAATGATATAGGATTTTCACAAATTCTCCTACATGAACGAGGCTACAAAATTTGCGTAGTGGTTGCCGGGGGGGGGGGACTTTTGAAGGATCCATTATTTTCACAATTTTAGAAAGACGTTGGAGGGGAGCTGGTAGATGCAAGATTTACAATTATGTGTAGGGGACGGGACGTTAAAAATATTGGATTTTTACAAATTCCTTACATGAAACTTTGGGGGGGGGGGGGGTAAAAAGATTTGAGTTTCACCTATTTCATATTTTTGTACCCAAAAGGCATTGTCTAGGGAGGAGCTGGTTCGGAGTTGGAAGGTGAACATGCAGAGAAAAGATGAAAAAATTTGGGCAACCCACTTATCTCAGAATTTATCGTTTCGTGTTATGATGGTCCATGGGAACGGGAAAGGGTCCAAACTCGTGAAAATATCCCCAGCAACAGTTTGTCCCATAACAACTACTCGCAACCCCCCCCCTCCCTCAATCATTTTGCAAGCGCATAGGAACCAGTTGTTACTGTTACCTCGCTCGTCAAAGCGTTCGATTTTTTAGCCCCTGGTACTCGAACTCCCCCTCACTACGCGGGGTTAATCGCTCCGATAATCTTTACCCAATCTAACGCGCTTATCCTCAGCTCCCCTCTCCCCCTCCCGCCCTCCCGGGCTTAACCCTTGTTTATGGTCCGGAACACACAACAACATCCAACGACGCACTGTTCCTCTATTGCTCATCGATCGCTCTGCGGGTTTGCATAGTGCCGTGTGCCGAATATCCCCCCCCCCCCCCCCCGTACTCGCCCGAACCCCGCCACCCGCCACCATCCGCCATCGCTACACAATATAGCACAATCGATCTCAGCCCCCCCCCCCCCTCCCCCCGTCTTGATTGCCTTGTCCAGTTTAGAGCGGGTCCCGTTTTTGGGCGGGGGTTGGCGGCCGATGAGTGAGAGTGGCTTCTCAGCTGGCGACGGCGTTGATGGCTTTTGCCAGCGGCGCTCACCGATCGCTGCTCGCCGAGGATAAGATCGAAGTTCTGACTTTTGAGAGTGCGTTCTCGCTAAAGAAGCGCTTGATGCTTATCTTCGACGAAAAATCTAAGACATTCATTTTCTTCAGTAGCCAGATCTGGTTTTTATGGCGTATTGTGCGTGAAAAATCGTAAAAACCCTTTTTTTTCAGCTGCATTTGCGTAGATATTGACCATTCGCAAGTCATTTCCCTTGCAAAAGTCGGATTTTCTTCAAATGAATTTTTTGACGTATATTTCGCATTCAAACCGATATCATACTTGCTTTCTGATTGTATCTGAAATACGTTAGAATTTTTTAAGCTTGATCTTGCGCCTCTCACCCCTTCCCTTCTTAACAAGCTAATTTTCACAATTTGAGCTGTAAAAATACTCGTTTTCTTCTAATCTTATGCGCCAAAAGGCGTAAGAAAGTTTTTCTTGAAAAACAGTCCCCCCCCCCTCTGCCCCACCTTCTGCCTCCGCCCCGATTTTTGACCCCTCATATTTCTGGTATCTCCGCGTTTTTCTGGCTGCATGCAAAATTTACATATTCAAGTAAAACTATGAACAATCGAGTCATTTTTGACTTGATTTGTGCATAGCACGCCACGCTCCTCATCTCACGACATGTGGTCTCGAAACTGCCCAATTCATGAAATTTCTTCCAGTTTTCTCCTTTTTTAGTATAGTAAGTGTTATAGTGTGCGAATATTCAACAGCGATCAGTTTATACGATTGATAATTCATTTAGGATAAGTCAGTGAGTCGCGTGGAATATGCAAACTCCATGAGTATGTTGCTGGATTTCCAAAAACCCAATTTTGCGCAATCTCTCTCCCCAATACTTCTTCCAAGCAGATACTCACCTTTTGTTTTTGATTGTACGCACCAAAAGACTTGATCTAAGGAAGTTCTCCAATAAGCTAAATTTTCGGCACTTTTTCTCCCCAAGCTGCTTTTTTTCCATGATTCAACATCTATAGCTCTGATCTCTAACCTTTTTGATTCTCTGACCGTTCTGTTCGTAATCCTTAACTCTCACCGATTATGTCCCCCTTCATATTTCAATCACTGATCTTTCGTCCCTTTTGCTGTTAGAGGTTGTTCCCGTGTTAGTCCCCGTGTTTCATCTGCGGAACACAAGTCGCAAAAAACTACCGTAATTTATGGGGAGGAAACAATTTGTTACAAAGTTTACGCCTATCCACTTTGATTGCTTTCTCCTAACGCAAGCCTAAGACTCTATAATTGTCTGATGAAGAGAGGAAAAACGCAAAGTGTAAGAGTCTTTCTTTCAAGACAAATCTCTTGATAAATTTTTTTCAAATTTTTTTCACTCAGTTTTTGGAACAGACACATTTCGGACTGGATATTCACTGACCATGGAAACTCTATCGCTGTGAATTATGCCAAACCGAAATGTTTGCAAGTTTCTGCGATTCAGCGCTGGCAGAATTCTTTACGCGTGTTTTAGGGAATGCAATGTGCGAAGGGGGGGGGGTGAGGGGAGGCCAAAAACGAACTGCAATTTTGGCTCTCAAATACTTTGAATAAAAAAGTACAGCACTGCAACACAAATGTAATTTTATAATAGGTGTTTAATATATTCTATGGATAAATTATACACAAAAAATATTCTTAAAAACTGTTATTTAAAACCTGGCCTGCTCAAACTTGGACTAGAATTTAGTATACCAAAACAATACCAAAAGGCATTCTTTGCATTTTTTGGGACTATCTGCAAAATCGGCAGTCTTCCTCTAGAAATTTGAGCTTTCTGATTTTACTGATTCCGTATTTCCATACGCAAGTTTTGTCTGCGTGCATATCCATCAACTTATTGTTAGAGAAATAACTTCTACATTTTCACTCTTTTCGTTCCCTTCTGCAATCGGAACCAATTTTTCAACTTTTAGAACATTTGATTGTTGCTGTGGGAAATACGGCACACATGTGACATTCAAGTTGATTAGTTTGACTACTAACACCTGTCGTAGCATTTGTCGTCAGGGCGACACCTAGCGCATTTTTTCAGATTGTGCGGTCGACTTTGTAGTGTAGTAGGCAAGCGAACTAATTTTATTCTATACGTTGCTGAACAGCTTAGGAAAGTCAAAAAATCCAGTGTAGAATTTTTTTTATATCAAGTCATGGAAGTGAGACATAAACAATTCACTTCCTTGAAGAAGCTTGTAGTGATAAACTCTTTTAAGTTCAGACTCATACTTTCCCATTACAACATTATCTCACTATTTATAGACTACTATATTTTCACGTTATTTCACCGTTTCACTCAAATTTTATGTACAATGTTTCGCTTCTAGAATAACCTCTTAAATCCTCCAGCGTCTGTTTTCGAGATCTGCCATGTGATGTCATTATATGCTTTAACCTCAAATTATTTGGCATATAAAAATTCCTTTTGTTTACTTTGTGAGCCATCTACATTTACGAGATAAGCTCACAGAAACCCGATCATCTTGCATCATACTGGTGATTGTGTCTCCATCCTCATTATAAACATCTTTATCTAACGCGAAAATAAATACTGTACGATACTGTATTATGAATATGACAACGAAAAGTAAAACAAGAAGAACATCCCATTAAATCAAAAAATTGTGATCATATTAGGAAAACCACGAGAAATTCCTTTGTCGTTCTAAACTGTGATAAGTGTTTTTAAGTGAACTGTAGCTGTAGCTTCGTAGCTGTTCTCAACTTCTTTCTGATCTTTCCTCATTTTCTCTCCCTTCTTTATTTCTTCCGCTTCCGCTCAAGGTTGTCTTCAAACGCAATCGATTTTCGTACCACAATTTTTCATTTTTCTTTTCTTCCCTTTCGCACTATTTTTTGCTCGTTCTCATTCTACCTGCTTTTACCAGTTTTCACCCGCATTTTTCTCCGCTAGTATGCCATAAAAACCTGCTTGAAAGTTTTTATCAACCTTGTTCCCAATTTTTTCTTCCCCAATTTGTTTACAGTTTGAACTTTCCAAAGTTCTTTTTGTCTTTACAACTTTACACATTGCACCGATAGAACACAGTGGGGCGCAACAAACCGCATGTGACCGGACGGACTAACCATAGATCATTGAACCAGTTGATTCAGGAGCCCCCCACACAAAACGACCCGACGACGACGGCGCTGACGGCGATCCGCTTCTGAATTGCAGCCGCGCAGCTCGTCGGATTTCGCGCTCTGATCTGTCTCGATCTCCTCTGGGTCCTTTAATCCAACAAAAAAATGTGGGATACGGTCAGCGCCTTTATAGCTCGTTTAGTTTCACGATTTCCGGGAACTTCAATATGTGGTGAGTTTTTTTTTGGAATTTTTTCCACTTTTTTCCTACTAGTATCCAAAAATGCTCATTGGTCCACTAAAACATGACAAATTTGATCCGCTGATGTGTTTTGCGACAGATTTTGGACAGAGATCGAGCGATGGTGCCCCTCACAAACAGAGCGAGGTCGTCCCATTCGTTCACTAGCCAAAATTTCGAGGAAGTCAAATGGAAATCATGCGCGCGCCATTGGGTTCGTACAGAAAAAGTTGCTTTGAATTGCGATGAGAGGAAGTTTCGAGAAAATTCCATTTGTCTGCAAGGCGAAGAGCATGTGATTTTGAAAGTGCAACTCCTTGCAAAAGCTGCACGTTTTTACATAAGAAAGCAATCTATGGGGTGTTCAGCCTGCAAAATTAGATCTCAAGCAATTCTCACACGGGATTAGAAAAGCTCCACAGAAGCCTTGCCATATGGGACCTTTCTCTTTCTAGGGGGAAGGGGAGGGGGGGGGGGGGGGAGGGAAGGAGACTTCCAAACTGACGGTAATGATAGGCGGCTCCAAAAAGCTATTACTCCTGAACCAACTGGATGAGGGACCAGTGTTCACGTGGAAGGGAAGGGGAGGAAGAGCGGTAAAAGATTGTCAACATTTATTCTCCTCTCTCTTTTTTTAAAATTTTTGCACCTTAGGACGAAATCCCCCTTAAAATAAGTTTCTTGTCGCTCTTTTTACACGAATGGTGGACGCCCAAGAGGGGGGAGGGGCAAGGGGGCCGATTTAGGCAAGGTGGGCATCAAATAATTGTCGGGCATATAGTCATACAAATTTAATAATCAAAATTATTTTTTCATAATGTCAAGCAGTACCACGTATACAAAACTTTGCAATCTTTTGGTCGTAGAAAATTTCATGCCGATTTCCTCAAAACTTTGAAAATCCGCCATTTTTTCCTGACAGCAATATTTCAAAAAATTTGCTATATGAAATCTGATCATAAAATTGAGTTCTTCTTTGTAGTTTTTTGGCCCTTTGCGATATGTTGCAATTTTCCTTACAATTTAGGTAATCAATACATCTCATTATTTAGGCAGTATCCTCATATGTCTCGTCTTATCCGCTGGTCTTCATCGGATGCGATTTGAGCAAGACATTCGCAAGTCTTTTTCTCCCGATGATTCCATCAGCGGACAGTGAGTGCTTAGCATTTTACCGGAATTTTTTTTTTGAAAACTTTATTGGAAAAAAATCTACTGCGATTGCATGTAAAGAATGGTAGAAAAAGCCGGTTTTTTTTTCAATTTGCCATGAAAGGATTTTTTATATGCGTAGTACTCCATTATTCTGCAAAGAATCACTACCACTTTCTATTTGACCTCCATAACTCTTGCTTCGTATTGTTTGCAAGTTTTTCCACATTCCATAAGTTGTAATCTCACACTTCACTCTCCGAAAAAAGAAGCCGCGATTTGCCGTTTTCACTTCGGTAAATTCCTATATAAGTTCAGGAACCGGTTTTGGAAGTTTCAATGTTGATGTTTTTCTATTTTGGAACTTCCGGAGGGGAAGAGTAGAAGCGTGAAGGTCTTTTTAGCTATGCTAGCGTTCCAATAATATTAATTCAATAATTAATTAATTAATTAATTAAATTATAATAAATTCTGAGTCCTTTAAATTTCATGAAACCGCGGAGAAAAAAATTCAAGAAAAGAGAAAGTGTATTCTACATTCATTTTGCGTTTTATGTTTTGAAAAAAACGACGTGCCTTTTTTTTCATGCCCAAAAATAATTGAAAATGCATAAAAATTGTATTTTTTCATTTAGCCTCGTCTTTTGAAGTAGATTTTATCGAACTCTGCAGAACACTGATACTAACGTCCTCGAAACTTTCTTTAAAGGGCAAAACATGACCCTGAAGTCGTTTCAAGGCTATCTTAGATGCGAAAAGAACATTAATATTTATTTGCTTGAAAAAAAAGTGCAATGGGAAAGTGCACAAGAAGTAATCGTCCTTCAGAAAAACTAAGATTTTAGGAAGCGCTAATGCAAAGAACGTATGTGTAGAAAGGGCAAACAAAGGTTACTTCAATTTTAAAATCTCTAGATTTAGACTAATCATAGAAAATTTTTCACTTGCATAGATTTTATTTGAAAAACTTTTTTCTTACATTTTCGGTTTTCTCCAGTAGTAAATGTTCGAAAAGCGTTTCCACCATTCCATTCAACTTGTCCTCTTTTCACAATTTTCCACAAACAATGGCTGTTGTTTTGCTATCAGAGGACGCCAATAAAAAGGCGATCTTGTAAATAACCCGTCTTGAGGTATGCGATGTTATTGTTATAATTGGCGCGAAGAATTTGTAAACAGTCAGTCAGCAAACTTGAGTTCTCCTATTGTCAGGGGAATTCTGCATTTGCGGAAGTTGTAGAGATTTGAGTTTCTGGTAGACCACAACGGCAAATGTCACTTCCCTTAGAACGAAAGGCGTTTCGGGTTAAAGGCAGTGGACAGGCAAAATGGACCCCTGTCAGATTTTGGTAGTTTCGGGTAGTGGACCCCCCAAGTACACCGTAGCCCCAACCCCAACTTCCAGTTGATGCGCTAAGTCCTGAAAAAAGCGCTTCAAACTTCCACCAATAACGCCCACTCAATGGAAGTGGGCGGCGCTGGTGGAGTTTTGAAGCGCTTTTTTCAGGACTTAACGCATGAATTGGAATGTGGGGTTGGGGCTACGATGTACTTGGGGGGTCCACTACCCGAAACTACCAACATCTGACAGGGGCCCAATTTGCCTGTCCGCTGCCTTCAAACGTTTACTTATTTATTCTATTTACAAAATGCGCGAAAAAAATGGAATCTTCGTAGACAAAAATTGGGGCTTTTTGAAATTTTCGCGCACTGAAATGAGCATGTTTGGAGTTACATTTGCGGGAATGTTCTAAAATAGTTTTTGATTTGGCTTCGATCGATCATTCAAAGCGGCAAAAGCAAAAAAAAGAATTTTGGGTGTATCATCATTTATTCACTTGATTATTTATTATAGAATACGCGCGCCAAAAAAGACTTAACAAGAACAGAAAAATGGGGATTTTTCCAGAAATCTTTGTGACTTATAAAAATAGATGCAGGCGGAAAATTTGAGGAAGATTTGTTCATCTCGTTTTTTAGCATAAAATTTGAAATTGAGTCAATACCTTTGAAAACTTTTCTTTCTCGCTACTATCTTTACCTCGTCCACTATACTTATGCGAAGCTCAAGAGGCTGCTAAATTTTAGCGCTAATTGAGCCGATGCGAACGATTTTTGGTATCATTGAGTGTATAAATTCATGCGTAAAGCTGGTTGCAAATTGCGCACAATGCCAGTTTTTGAATGCGGTTAAAACCGGCATAGTGAAAGGCCAATGCAGATGGCGATCGACGAGAATTGGAGCTTTTTGTGAAAGCATAGCGGGGAAATTTTGGAGAACTATCAAATTTTCTTATGAAATAGATTTATGATAAATAAGAGAGAAAAGTTTTTTTGAACACTCCGTTTCGTTCCTTCCCTTAGACGGAATAAAGGAACTCAGAACTCTCCCCGGAACTCGTCAGTAAGGAAGGAGATTCATGAGTTAGCAATATGTAAACATCAGCGTAGCAACTTTGAAATTAAGCGTTTTTTAGGAGCTAAGAAATAATTTGGACAGCTAAGAGACCTTTGAAATTAAGCGTAATTTTCCATATCTTGAAAGCAAATGCTCCAAATTCATCGCTTCCTATATGCTCAACATTCGAGATCTGAATTACTAGCTAGAAAAAGAAATAATAACCAAGTACAGTCGAATCATTTCATATGATCATGTGTGTCACTGCACAGACAGTCCACCTTTGGCGTCCTCATCCTGGATTTGCAATCTCAAAAACGCAAAGACTAGCGATTGTTATCGATTACATCAATTTGAGGTGATTAGTAACTAAAAAGGAAAGAAAATGGCTAAGAAGGGTTGTTTCCCTCACGAATCCAAAATGGGAATGCCAAAGGTGGACTGTGTGTGCAATGACACACATGATCATATGAAATAATTCGACTGTAAAGTAAATGTCATTGTGAAATTTCTTCGATTCGATGAAACATGTAGATAAAGGAAAAAAAACTTTGAGGGGCTCATACTAATAATGTTTCTTCCAGAGAAACTCGTACATATCTCGAATTCTACAATCTGACCGAATTCCCTCAGCGAGCATTTGTGATACTTTCAGCCAGAGATGGTGGCAATATTCTACGGGATGAGGTTGTTGACGAGGTGAAAGAGTTTGATTTTGCTTTTTTTTATTTTTTATCCTTTCTCTCTTCATCATTGAATGGAAGGAATCTCAATATTTTATCATTCACATTTTCGATCTCATTTCTGTATTTTTAATGTATTATATATTATGTATTATTATATATATCATTATATGTATCATATGTGCATTACTATTAATGTCATATACCATTATGTTCTTATTATTATATTATTGAATAATGTTATATATATTATATTAGGTCGTCCCGAAAGTATTTTCGCTTTTTTCAAACAATCGCCACGGCCCGCAGAACAAACATCATTAGAAGATCTTGAAATTATTCGATGCAGTTTTTTATGCTCTTTCAAACGGTGTTCTTTACATTGCAATTTAACAAACGAGCTCTCAGAAAATAGCCAAAAACTGCAACCCATAGTTTTTGCCATAGTCAGTTTCCGGTATTTTTCTAAATTCCTATAGTAATTTCCCGAAGGAGTTCAAGTGACCTCCAAATAAAGCAAACAAAGTGGGATACAAGACAATTTCCGCCCCTTCCAAATCTTATTTTACAAAATTTTTAGAAATACTTTTTTGATGCTATCAAATTCTATATTTCGTCAACTTAAACCTCATAGAGCATCACTCGGGAAGCAACTCTGGTGTTATTCGATGCAGCACCTTCTCCTCTTTCAGAGACAGGTTTTTTGTTTCTGATTCGTAAACTTTTAGAGGACGAAACCGACAAAATGCATGTTTTTGATGGCGCCCCAAGATGTACCCGAAAAATTCAAAATCTAATATTTCGAACCTGGAAACGCTCCTTGTCTTGTAAAATTAGTGATGAATCTTAATCTATCTTTGAGAGTATCTAAAACTGAGAATTTCTCAGAGTTTGACGAGTCTGCGTCTGGTATGGGTCTGCTAAAATTCGATAGTGTTGTTTGGAATTTTGTCAAAAAATTATGGAGAGCTCTGGGAAGGAGAAAAAAATTGTTTTGTATCCTACTTCGTTTGCTCTGTCTGCAGGTTACTTGGGTTTCTTCGGAGAATCAGCACAAGAATTTAGAAAAATAGCGAAACTTGACCTTGGTAAAAAGTGTGGGTCGCAGTTTTTGGTAATTTTCTGAGACCTCGTTTGTTAAACTGCAATATAAAGATAACCATTTGAAAGAGCATAAAAAACTGCATCAAATGCTTTTAAGATCTTTTAAGGATGTTTGTTCTATGGACCGGGGCGGTTATTTGAAAAAAGCGAATATACTTTTGGGACGACCTAATACATTATATTACACTACTCAAAATTATATTTTTTTCTTCAGGTAGTGCGGTTTGATCAAGTAATGACGGACTCCCTATCAGATCGAGTGAAGATGCCAGAGCGAAGTTGTCATCCACTTTGTCAGCTGAATAGACCATTTCATATGGTATTGGTAAGTTTTTCATCAAGGTTATCAAATCTCCTGGAAAAAATTGCAAACTCTACTTCACCTGTTACCGTACTTGAGGACGCTGATTAGTTTGTTTATGGTAATGGGCCGAATAACCTTTTATTTCTCGAACTAATAAATCAAAAAATGCTACTTGGCCTTGGCCTAATTTAACCCCATGAAATATTTCTAAATAACTTTTTTCACTTATTCCGCAGCATTTTCACTCAAAAACTTTTTTCTCATAACTTGTTTCTATCTAGTCTATATTTATTTGGTTCTCAATGTTCAGAAAGAGCTGAGGTCAAACGAAACAGACCCAAATCGACAATTAGGCTATCCAGATTGCCATTTTCATGGTCAACCACTGTTTATCGGCATGCATTTTCACGATGCCCATGTCCCTCCAGGTAGGCACATCAATTCCTTTTAAAATTCAATTTGAATATTTTTAAATCAAGTTGACTACTAGGGAATTCGCATAGCGATCTGTTGAACCTCATCATTCCAAAATTTTCAGGAAGCAACAAATTAGAAGCAAAATCAATCATCTTATGGTATTTCTCTCGGGTGGATACTCCAGAAAGAAAGCGTATCTACAAGGTGAATCCATTTTGGTTACATAAAAAAGTTTCCAAGGAGGAGAATTTTTGCTCAAAATTCCTCATACCTTTTTCTAATCTTCCAATAAAATACCATTATTTTGCATTTGCACTATTACAGCTCTTTTACGTTCCATCTATTTTTAGCCTCAAAATTCTAAGCAACATATCTTCGTTTAGGAAACCACGCTCAATCTATTCCGTGTCAGTAACGACGGCTCATTTTCTGATCTCATTGATTTTCGTATATTTGGCGATGAAATCGCTAACTCTGAAATGGTTCGAGGTGCTCTTGAGGTTCGTTTTTCCTATACTTTCGCTAAAAATTGACTTCGAAAATCAGTGAAGTTGAAAACAAATTTTTCTTAGAAACGAACTCCAAGAAGAAAATAACCTTTCATTCCTTTTCAGGCCACATTCTTAATGTCCATAGGTTTCGTATTTTTACTTATTTTTGTGATTGCTGTCATTTGGCGACAAAGCTCACTTCGTGCTACTCCTTTCCTCGGTAAGCCAACGAAAGAACAGAATCCTTCATGGAAAATATTTTCGTTTAGTGGCTGTGACCTTGTTGACTCCATTTCTGGCAACAGTCTCGGCTTTTGGATTGTTGTCATGGTTGAGGTACCCAATCTATTCGATGCAATGTGTCACACCATTTTTGGTGCTAGGGATTGGTGAGCATTATTTGTTTTCCCAGAAATACGTCATTTTTGCAACCTTCAATTTTGGTTTTCAAAAAACCTTCCTATGAGGCGTGAATTTCTTGGAATTGCCTCGAAACCGATCAGATCGATATAGCAAAAAATTTTTTCCCGCTAGTGAATTATGTTTAGGTGTTGACGACGCTTTCATACTTATCCACCGATGGAAACACCGTTCAGATATCACAGATCACTCAGCGCGCTTGACACAGGTGAACTATTATTCAAAAATATCTTATAATAAAGTCTAATTTTGACAAAAAAAGGATTTTCCAAGAAGAAAAAAGAATTTAAAAGCCCTCCCATTTTCCATCGTTTTCTAATCGATGTGCTAATCTCAAAATGGGGCTTGATCCGAGAAAAAGGCTGGAACAAAGAGTTTTTGTTGTCCATCATGAGAAACAGTGAGACCACATCATGCATCCCGTGTAAGTGTTTGCTTGAACAGGACTCCAAGTGGGCGGGACTAGCACCGTGGGCGGTTCTAAAAGAAGGCGGGATTGGGATTAGTTCTAAGATCTGAAAATTTTTTTGGCTCTCAGTGTATTCTGCAAACTTTTACAGGGGTCTGCATGATGTGGTCTCACTGGTTTCAGTAAGACTATAGGAGTTACTTGGAAGTTGGAAAAACCTTGTCATGCTCATTGCGAATGCTGCATAAGTGAAAAACGTAAAAAATTTCCCTAATTGTTGGTTTTCAATCACTTATGATAAAATTTAGCACGCTTGGCACCACATATGGTGTCGTTTCATTGTTTATCTGATTCTCGAAATCTTATTGTGGAGAAAAGAGAAGAGTTGAAAAAAAGAAAAAGCGAGAAATAATTACCATTTCCAGGTCATTGTCGATGTTGGTCCTTCGATCACTATTACCTCACTCACTAATATCATTGCTTTCGGAGTTGGAACTTTCACTCCCACACCTCAGGTGAGGAACATGTCCGGGAAAGAACGATCTTAATTTTTTTCTAAAAAGTTGCAGATGTCCCTGTTCTGCTTGGCCACCTCTATCGCTCTACTTATCGACTACATCGTGACATATACTATTCTAGCACCGGTTGTGTATCTATGCAGCGATAAAAAGGATTATCAACCAGCTTTACCATCAAAACCTACTGGAAACGATCTTCTGAGCAGGGTTTGCCTTTAGAACTTATTTTCCAGTATCTATCTCAAAATTTCTTCTCCTTACAGTATTCTCGTCTACTGTGCTCGGTAAATGGTCGCTTGTTATGTGGTATATTCCTCATAACTATTTACACAATCTCAGCAGCTGGAGTTTACAACATGAAGTCAACATTCGAACCAGCAAAAGCTTTCCCTTCTGATTCACCTCTTGTAATAAGCTTAAGGAAAATTAGGTAACAGTTCAACACAACAGTTCTTCGTTGGACTGCGTTCGGGTTGCCCGTGCCAGCGCCGTGCTTGCGCTGTTTCGGCAATGCGCTGGCTAGAACGTCAATCGGTAATTACGGAACACGTCCACGTTGGTTCCGGCTAGCACTGCATTGGCACAGCGGTGAAACGGCGTTGGCACAGCTCCGGCACCCGGGCAACTTTAAAAGCGGCCTGAGCGTAAATTTGAATCTCTCATTGATGATATTCAGGCCAGTCTTCAACACCTACTTCCCCGTGAATGTTTATGTTAACCATCCTCCTAATATCTCAAACGAAGAGCAGGTACAGATCATTGCTATAGTAACAATTCATTTTAATTCATTGAACAATTGTACTTGCAGCACGCCAACTTCTACAGTATGATATCTGAGCTGAGAAAAGTTGAAGGATGGAATCGAACAATGTTATTCCTCGATTCTTACGAAGATTTCGACAAGAAGGTATCACAAAGCTGAATTTATCATGATATTATTGCAATAATCTGGCATTAGCATTTTAGGTAACGGACATGGCCAGATCGATATTCTTCGTTTCTGATCAGGACTATAAACCAAGTCTGCATAATTTGCAATTTTGGTTGGATAAAGTTGGAAACCCACCCAACATCAGATATGTTAGGGATAACGCAACTGAGTAAGGACATATGAGTTATGTTATCATCTAGTGCTCAATGTTTTACAATGTTCAGCGAAGGACGGCTCACTTCATTCTCATTTATGATTCTGGGTAAAGGAATGGCGGAATGGGCAAATCGAGCGCATTTTGTCCATGGTGTTCGAGAAGTATTGGCTGAAAATACAAGATGGAATGCGACGCTATTTGATTGCGATTCAGCAGTATTGGCGCTAATACTTACGGTAAGTTTACCGTATAGAGCAATCAGCAGTTTGAAGACTGAACGTAAAAAATACTTTCTAAGATTTATAATAACTCAGAAAAATTTCTTACATTTATAATCTCCATTTGAAAACTGTCGCTTTTTCTCTGGGAACCCTGAGCAAATCTAAAACTGAAAGTTTGCCCAACTATCTAGACAAATTGGGAAAGGTTCTAATTTTGCAATCCCTACAGAGTCTCAATCTTTTTGCGGCAGTGCCTTTGTACAATAGGTATTCACACCTTTTTGGCTTAACTCTTCTGATCTCAAAGATCTATTATTTTAGGTTGGAAAGGATCTCATCGGTTCCATAGCTGCTACGGTTGCATGCATGGCTGGTATTTGCTTGCTTTTTGTAAATAACCGAATGGGTGTGCTAATAATCACCTACACTATCGCATCTATATGCTTCTGTAAGTTGATGTTATCATCTTGAAGACTAACTGTGAAACTTCGCGTTTCAAATGATTGCTGGGAACCGAAGAAAGTTTGCAGTACATATCTTATATCTTATCATATCTTTTATCTCTGAGTGTCTTCCACTGGGAAATTTTTGACTGGAAAAGAGAATTGATTTTTACTTATCGACTGCGATTTAATTGTTTAATGCATCATTTTACAGGTCTGGTCGGTCTGCTCTCATGGTGGGGAGCCGACCTTGATCCGGTCACTCAAGTAGACGTTCTTTTGGCTACTGGATTCAGGTACATAGAAGCATAAAAATTATCTTATGATATCCCATGAAAAAAAATTACTAGAATTGTCTGCACTGTCTTGATTCTGCCAAAATATCTCAGCAAAATATAGTAATCCCAAGGTATATCTGGATGCGGGACGACAACAAGAATCCGCGCATAATATCGTAATCTCACTAAAAAGGGCAAAAAGGCTAAGTCGGAAATTGCTAATTGAAGCCTTTTTTGCTGGGATTTGTAGTTCACTGCAAGCTTTTTCGGGAGCTTTTCGGGTTTTCGACTCATTCACTTTTCATAACTACTCTTACTTTTAAGTATCACATAACGGTAAACATACCATGCTAGCATTATAAATCTCTTTGTCTAGCGTTGACTACACGGCTCATGTCGCATTCCAATTTTATCGATGCCGTGGATCATCTCTAGAAAGAGTGGCAAGCAGTTTGGGTGAAATGGCAGCACCGATGATTCAGGTGATCTTTCTCACATAAATGAGCCTTGTACTCAAAGCCAGTTCTATCTTTTCAGGCGGGTCTTTCGACTTTCCTCTGCATGTTGCCACTGATATTTGTGCCCACCTATGCCATCGTGGCTTTTGCCAAGACTATTTTCATCATAGTTGGCATTGGTAAAGTTTTCAGAAAATCGTATTTTCCGCAAGTTGTACCAATTTCGTTCGTTTCAGGACTTATACACGGCTTATTTGTACTTCCTGTACTGCTCGCTGCTGCTGCACGAACAAGTCCACCTCCCTTGCCAATTGACATCAAAGCAGAACATCTTCTCGAGAACGAGTTGACACAACAATAGCTATGGAATGGAATGTAAATAATAAATAAAGATTAATCTTGTACTTTGTTGTTTGTATTCACAATCTCATAAGGCAAGGATATTATTCCTTGCTACAAAAGAGCTTAGCAGTACCACTTCTTAGCATGGTTAAAGGCAGCTTACACCCAAAATTTCGCCTTCGTTTTTGTTGTTTTTGTCATTCTGGGCGTTTCTGTGCCCCTGATTAAAGTTGTGATAATAAAATTCTCCAACTCCCCTCCCCCAAAAACCCCAGTTCTCGTGTACCCTCTCTTCAAAGGGAGGACGAGTTTCGAATTGCTCGACCCCGTCGGCATGCCGGCAAGGAGCAGCTGCAACTGCAGCTTACGCTGTGGAATCGTCCGAATGAGGCGGACCGAAAAGAAAGGGGCGGAGCGAAAAGAGAATCAGGCGGGTTTTCTCTGCTTGGAAGCAACATTGGGAGACCGGACCAACGCATTTGGTATTCTTCTGGGCCTTAGATATACATGGTATAGAGAACTGGATAACTTAGATTTTGGGTGCACGCTGCATTTGAGTATTATCACCTGTTGCAAAGGGTGTTGAGCAGCATTGCCATTTGCTGCTTATGGAATTGAGCAGCAGCATTTTGCTGCAGATGGATTTGAGTGGCACCATTCCTGTTGCGGATGGAATTGAGCAGCACCATCACTTGCTGCAGATGGAATTCAGCAGCACCATTCTTGCTGCAAATGGAATTGAGCAGCAGCATTTTGTTGCAGATGGACTTGAGCGACACCATTCTTGTTGCGGATGGAATTAAGCAGCGCAATTTTGTTAAATTTAGCAGCACCATTCTTGCTGCGGATAAAATTGAGCAGCACCATTCTGCTGCTAAATTCCATCAGCACCATTTGCAGATGGAATTGGGCAGCACCATTCTTGTTGCAAATGGAATTGAGCAGCAGCATTTTGTTGCATGGATTTGAGCAGCACCATTCTTGCTGCGGATGGAATTAAGCAGCACCATTCTGTTGCTGAATTCCATCTGCAGCACCATCACTTGCTGCAGATGGAATTCAGCAGCACCATTTTTGTTGCGGATGGAATTGCGCAGCACCATTTTGTTGCAGACGGATTTGAGCAGCATCATTACTTGTTGCAGATAGGATTACACAACCATTACTTGCTGCGAATGGAATTGAGTAGCAACACTACTTGTTGCGAAAATTGAGCAGCACCATCAGTTGCAGTGCGACTGATGTTGAGCAACACCATCACTCGTTGTGTATCAGCTGGATACAGGAGCTGTGCATGCGCCCGTAGCCCCTGTTCTGAATTTGTTGTCCTTTGCATACATCAAAAGGATATAACTGGGCCTGATGAAATTGGGGAAAGCAGCTGTAGAAATAAGACCGATTGGTACAAATGACTATGTACGTATGTATTCACAGGCGGTGTGTATCGAAACCTTCACAATCATTTGTTCTGTCGAAATCATGCCAGAGCTATGGTAGATCCTCAGTAAAACTTAACCACGTTTCACTGGGTTTATAGCAAGTTAAATGACTTTGAAAATAAGAGGTGATCCTCACTCCCAAAGCACCAAACAGTGAAATCCTCAATTTGTATAGCAATGTCCTGTCATCCTTTCAGCACGATGGGATGATGACCTTCATAAGATAGATAGACAAAGAAGAATAAAGATATCTAAAGCAGCGAGACACGACGCGTCCGTTCCTAGATCTTTTCTCCTCCCAGCGGAAATGTAGGTGCAACAAAGGTCTAAATCTTGACTTTTTTTTGAGTGGTAAACCCACATGTATCTTTAATCCAGTGGCAGTCCAGGAAGGGGTGGCGGAGCGGGAAGGGGGAGGACTTTTAGGTGAAGGAGCATAGCTGAGCTCATAGAGCTCCACTCCCGGCGGAAGGATTCTGGGGATTCTTTTCAGAATTTTCCCGTAAGGACCTATAACACCGTTTTTTTCTGAGGAGTTATTTTGAACTTCGAAGTATTTGAAGAAATTTTTCGATTGTTTTCAATCATCTATACATTTTTGCTCATTTAGACCACTTTCCCCAAAAATCAGTTCCCATGTATTAGTCGCTATATACGACGCTGATCTTTCCACATCAGCAGAGAAGATCCGAGCTTGTCCAAAGAGATAAAATATAGAACAAGGCACACATCTGTCACAATTTCGGCTGTCAATTATAGGTAATCGTAGTCTCATCTACAAGTGACCAATCATGGCCTACCAAATTTAAGGTTGCAACAGTGATTCATGCAAATTCAGTGCTCCTTACGAGTATGTAAGTATGGATAGCTCTCATATGCTATCGCAAAACTTTTATTTTCAAAAATCATCTTTCAAAGTCGCTAAGAAACACGTAAGTCGTGCAAGTTTGACCGACTTCTGAAGCCCCAATTCCTTCACTGTCTCTTTTGTGGCAGCTAGTGGGTCCTAAGCACCTAGATTTTGACCGGAAAGCCAAGACTCGCCCGCTTAAATCATAAAACGCAGTCTATCCTACTAACTTGCCTTAGCGCGCGACAAGCAACGATTAAGTAATAAGCATTTATCTGAGGTTATTACAATTTGTGGTCACAAAATTTTCAAGAAAAGCTCGGCTCAGTACCAAACCAGTTTCTAAATTGAACCTTGATTCGCCCGACGCGTCGTAGAAAAAAATATCCAAGCAAGAGCTCAACTGCCAGGCGCGAGTACAGAAGATAATACAAGAAGAAGATCATCGATCGGAAACGAAAGCAGACAGACGCCGGAAGGAGGCCCCGCCGCTGTATATGAGCTTTTGGCTGATAACGAGCTAAGGCAAGGAGAGGTCCGGAGGCGATTGCCGTAATGCGTATCGTAATGAGAAAGTACGGTACGCAATCGTCGGGGGAGGGGGCATAGGTGCGATAGGGGGAGCCGGGATCTCCCCAGGTGAAGGGGGTCTCGGCTGTTCCCGACCTTCCAGGGTGAAGGGGGTATGTGAGTCTAGGGGGGGGGAGGTGGGGGAGGAAGAGAGAAAATGTAAGAAAGCGTGCTATGAAAAGCTCTAATTTGTATGGTTTATCCCAAAAGATGTGCAAGTTAGGAACAACTTCATTTCCTGCGCATCATCATCAACAATATCACTATCGCTAACGTCAGAGAAAACAAATTCGGTGCCTGAATCTTCTTCTTCCTCCAAAAGGTCATCGGAGTGGAAGTAGAATTGCGTGCAAAGCGTTCTAAGTCAAAAATGGATTTGAAACTTTCTTCTTCTTCTAAGCACTTTTGTGATTTTTTTCCTGGCCCTCTGGTAGCATCAGGAAGTCAGCAGGTAGGTGACCAGTTTCTTCATAATCTTTTAGGATATTTCAAAAAGTCATACGGTAACAGCCTGTCTGGACCACTTATACCAATCCTTTGAATGAAGTTTTTAGATAACAATGTGTTTAGTAGAAGGTTGACAAATCTTAAGTATTTGCTTAGATGCTCTATCGTTGTACGACTTCTGCGTTGTGTTCTGATAACAGAGTAGATAGTAAATTTCTTTCTTCACCTCTGCCGTGCTAGACGGAATGGAAACTAGCTTTGCTAGTAAATCTTTCAGATTTTTGCGGTAAGTAATGGGAAAAGAGCCAGATCGCATATGCTTTCGCAACACGAGAAGGAAATAGTGCATACATTTTTGGGCCTTTGCGAACTCTGGCTTCACCTCCTCTGGCATACTTCCTGTTAACTGACGAGAAAGCTGCTCAACTTCTTCTTCAACAGCATCTGCGGAATAGCCGAAAAAAAGTAGATACTATGCTGCGCGTTGGTTTTTTTTCATTATCATAGGTCATAATGTCACAAAGCCAATAACTTCCAAAAGCATAAAGCACAGAGTTGGGTTCGCACTCCAGCCGGGATCTAAGTGCAGTAACTATGCTTTGTACTAACACCTTCCTTTTGTTCATATCCATATTTGTAAATTTAGCAGCCTTGAATTCTTCAGCAACCTGAAGATCAGCAATGGACTTCCTGGACATTTCCTCATTGAAACTAGACAATCTGCTTGGATTCCTTATGCAGGAAATCAGAGAGTTTCGCTCAATTGTCAACTCTGTGTCAATGTCGACAACATTTTCGTCGGCGTAAGATTCTCCTTCTGCCTCGCTATTGAACTGGAACACATGCGAGTCATCTGCGATTTTGTAAAGTATTCTGCCTGCCGTTTCCTCTTCAAACTGCCAACCTTTCCAAAACATTGAGGGATAATTCAATAACATGTTATTCTTCTGAATGTCTTAAAGTTTTTGATTCATTGAACCCAACCACCTTCTCTACAAATTAGGTAAGGTGAGTCTAGAGCGTTTTCATGATAGTGACCTTCTTCAGCACTAGGTTTACAGAGTATAAATCCCAGAAATGGGCAGGTTTTTGTGTGAAGGTGTGGAAATTTATCAATCTCCCATAGTTTTTTGAGTGTGCGCTAATAATGATGGCATAACTGTCAGTCAAAAACGCATTTTTTACAAAAAAACATAAACATATAACAACGATAAGGACGCTCAAACAGACGCGTTCGCTCACGTTTCCGTTAGTGCTGATAACGATGTCAATCCACAGCACATTTTTTATTATTAACTTGCTCCACCTCGCTCTTATTAGGTCGTCCAGAAAGTTTTTGCGCATGAATTTCAAAATTCATAACTTCTGATTTCCAACCGATTTGACTGCTTTCACTTTCATGTGAAAGGGTAAGTCATGTCATGTGTTGCATAGATAGGAGCGATAGAAGAAAAATGGTAAAAATTTTAATTTTCTGTGTAGGGTCATAAAAAATCGGAGACTTGCAACAAAAATCGGAGCACAGTACTGTAGAATCTTTCACCAGCTCTTTCTAACAGTGCAAAGTTTGCGCCGATTGAGCGTCTCCATGAAAAGTTATGATTTCCCTGAAAAATGCTAAAATAAATCAAATTCGCCTTTTTGTATTGCTTGCTCGGAAATCATAACTTTTCATGGAGACGCTCAATCGGAGCAAACTTTGCACTGTTAGAA